ACCAATCAGAGCAACTTGACATACAGACCATCCCCCAGCACAGCCAAGTGCAGACCATCTCAAACACCTGCACTCAGGCCTATGGTCCTAATCATCCTCTATACGGACCTGCTGGGTAACGCCACAAAGAACCTGAGAATGGGCTCCCACAGGACATACAGAACATCCCACAGCAGAACTGCACAGTGAGAATGAGACCCCGTTTCAAAAAGACTTAAATCATTTCAGCTGTAGAGTTAGAATGTATTTACCCTCTCTCAAATACTGGTTAGCTAATATAATTGCCCCTTTTCATTTCTACATACGGAGTGCAAAGCAGCCCCAGAATGAGATTGTGTTACCCACAAACTAGTGTTTTGTGTATAACACTATAGTCCCATCAGTCAGAAAACCGACTCAGAAAGACCTGAACCAATAAAGATTTTGACATGTGTGAATTCCTTGATGGTGTATGGTTGTTGGTAATAAGACTAGATTTCAGACTAGATAAAATAAGTAGATGAACTCTTTCTGCTAAAGAACAGGGTGCTTTATCTCCTCATGGGCAGGATACTCATTGGCAAGCATTATGGGAAGATGAGAAGGGAAAGAAAGCCTCATCTTGCAGTTTGGTTATGTCTCTTACCAGCTGAGAATTGAGAGTTAGTGCCCAATTAACATTTGCTGTGAAGGTTGCTGTCAGTGGAGATGATATTTCTCTCATATAGAAGTTTGTAGGTATTTACTATTGAGTGGCACAGATCCAGGCTAAGGCCTAAATGCTTATGATCTTGGGAATAGCCTCCTTCCACACTCTGTGATTTTTCTGGAAGTCTTACAAACAAGATAATTAACTTTGTTTACAATGAAGATATTCTAGGTTCCTGCATCCTGCTGATCTATGCTGTAAAATTATCAATCACAGTTTTGTCAGGTGGATGACAGAATCAGCTCTATTATATCATTTAGGTTTGTTAGTAACACTCTGAAGATTATAGCTTCAAAACTCATTCAGAACCAACCATATTGGCATATATGGCATAGGGAAGAAGGAATTGCAACTCTCTTAGAGAAGCCACACCCATGCTGGGGTATGGGTTAACTGCTTCCAGAAGTCCTCCACTCTCTTATATATATTAGAAATGCCCTTTAATGAACCAGACTTCTGCCCTATACTGGCTTATCCTGAAAGTCTTTTCTGTGTAAAAGCCAAAGATACAGGTTAACCATAAAGGATTAAGGAATGCCTCAGGCAGCTGTGGGTAGTTGCATGGAGCTGTCTCTTGTTTCTGCTACAGATGGAAATCACTGAATTAAATCAATGCATTTTTGTTATAGGTGGTCAGTGTCTGGGCCAGGTATTTTCAGGTCCTTGCCTCTTATCCAAAATACTGAAAATAAGATCTCACACATGTTTGCAAAATAATCAAGATAACTTTATTCAGATTACCAACTATAGAGGGATATACTGTCAAGAATGACAACAAACCATATGCGTGAGGGGACCCAAGGGTCACCCCTGTTCACCGCATGCATATTGTTTGCCAAGTACTTGCCAGAAACAATCCTTATCCTATGGGAACTTTCATATAATTCTCTAAGAGCTGATGGCAGGGGTTAGTAAAACCATTTTTTCTTTATTCAATATTTCTATCTGAATCTATTACTCCTGCACTAAGAAAAGAAAGGTGATATTCAGGTCACAGTTAAACTTATCTACCTACCCCCAAATAGCATGTATGTGTGTGTATGAGTGTGTGTATTACAGAGGGCAAAAAAAAAAAAAAATTAAGGAGAGTTAGAGTTTATCAAGAAGATAATTTAGCATAGACATAAGCACAGGGTTAATAGAAAGAGAAGCTCTTAGGGAAAGAAAAGTGCGCACGCATGTGCATAAATGTTGGCTCTTTAGGATGAAGTCACTCCCATCCCTCAAACAAGGTTTATTGTGGTTAAAAAGGATCATTAAGCAAGAATAAAGAGCCCATAATACTTTCCTAAATACAGGCTGTGCTATTTGGCACATTATCTTTGTTTATCTTTCTATGTAGTCCCTGTCAGTAAAGTTTCAAAGAGAAGGCGTCACTTAAAAGAGGCTGAGTTTTCTTTTTAGGGGGCAGACATTTCCTTAGCCTAACTACAATTGGTTGAGTAAGCCAGAATGATCTGGGGGAGGAGAAAGTCTCCGCAATACTCCTCTTCCCCAGGGCAGTAGTGGGAGGAAATTTTGGCCAGCAGAGGCGCTGCTACGGGGCCACAGGAGACCTGAGGGGCAAGGAAGACCAGAGTTGCTTGAGATGTGGAATCCGCTGCAGGACAGTGACTCTGTGCTGGGCCCTGGACGCCGCCAGCGCTGGCTTTGCGTCGGAACACTGGTGCTGGCTTTCTCCGGAATCTTCATCATTGGCTTCGTCTTTGGTAGGGTGCATTTGCTGTGCAAACCCCAGAATCCCAACTCGGCGACCCCCTTTTTTCTTCCCTTCTGCACTCTGCAGCTCCGTCTGCACCAGAAGCGATCCTGTCTGTCGTGGGTCTCCCCGGAATGTCTGATTTGGGTGGGGGAAGGAGGGAGCAATCCCTGTTAGTTAAGCGGTGATTTGCTGGCGTTGGTGCCGGATTGAGTTTTGAATAAACTGCTTGTAGGATTGAGCTACACAGATTTAAGCCAGATTTTAAAAACAAAAACACGGAACTAGAGCTAGGTTTGAGGTACTGAAACCCTGCAAGACGCCGCCACACTTCTCAGAAGAGATCCCCAATGGCTGCAGATCCAGATCAATCAGCAAGCTTGGCATTGAGTGGCTCTTGATGGCTTGGGGTTTCCTCTAGCTCAGACCTGGGGCAGATTCTGGGTTACCACCGCGTTCAGGACATCACTGTGAAAGGAGTCTCTTTCTGTTCACATTCTTCCTTGGACCTAACAGAAGCACATTCTGGGGAATGTTAACTACTGTCAGCACTTTCTGAACACAGTCTCAGCAGGAGGTCTTTGTGCTTGGTTCAGATTTCGCCCAACTGTAAGAAAACGTGAGCAGCACAGGCTAGCACACTTATGAATTCAGAAATTGTATAACTAATTCTCACTGCGAAAAAGTTACTGAGTCTCTTTAAGCCTTAGTTTCCCTGTTTTTACTGATGAAGCTAATATGAGTAACTTATAGAACATGAAACAGCATGCGGAACTTTCCTGGAGCAATGCTCACGTCTTCTTCCTAACTGACTTTAACACACAGGCCAGTCTAAGATGTCATCTAAGTCGGCCTTCTTTACTCTGAATTCTGAGTCACCTCTCTGGGATTTGTAAAAACAGGCTATAGACCAGTTGGGTAGCCTTAGTCCATTGCCTTCAATCTTAACTAACAGTAACCACCTATGGTTGTTGTGGGGCTTCAATGAGGTATTTTCTCAGAAAGACGACTTAAATTGAGTTTCCATTATTTCAGTTTAAAAGTGAGAAACAAGGCTTGGAAAGGTTAGCATGGGATTCAAAAAGGCTGCATATCCTAATGTCAATTTATTGCTTTTACTTTTTTTCCCTCACTGTGATCCTTGGTTTCAGGGCTCAGTGACTCAGTTTGTTAGTGTTTTAATGTCCTGTCTCCTCCACAGGACTCTATCTTCTTCTTGTATATTTTTTTAGACCTTGGTTCTAATCTATCATCCACAGGGTGTTCTTCCTTAATCTCACAGTCATCTCTGGGTTCCCTTAGTTTTATACACAGGGATAATATATTCCTTTTTGCCCAACGATGTGTCTCAATGTGCATATTTATATGCTTGGGTATTTGTGCATACGTGATCAAAAATGGGAAGAGTTCCACCAAGTTTGACTGGGTAACCTTCTGCATTCTCAGACCAAGTACTCTGTAAACTTGCAATGATGCCCTATCCCTTTCAGATTAAAATAAACTCATGCAGCCAGGGACTAAAGAACTGGTTATAAACTCTCTGCAGTTTTCTGTGCATTGAATTTCTTACAGGGTTTTGGGTACATTATAGTTTATTGTAGGCTTCTAACCTTCAATTTCTCAAGCCTGTTTCACTTGGAAAAAAAAATATCAGTACATTTTGTTGTAGTTTCAAATTCAAAGCAGACTAAAGTCCGAGTTTTCTTTAATGCTTTGAGAAAATTGATATACTTGAAATATAGTCATAGTTAAAATTCTCTTTTTGATTATCTGTGTATGTTTATATCTGTGGCAATGTACATGTGTGAGACGTGAGAACAGGTGTCCATAGATTTCAGGAGAGGGCGTTACTTTCCGTGAAGCTTAAGTTACAGATAACTGCACTGCCAGATGTTGGTTCTGGCAATCAAACTTGGGTCCATTGCAAGAACAGTACATGCTCTTAACTGCTGAGCAACCTCTCTAGTCACTGTACTCATAATTAATTCATTATAATCATTTGTTAAATGCTTATTCTAGCTCTACAAAGAAGCAAGCAATTACCGGCAAAAGAAGCTAATGTAGAAAAAGATACATTTTCAAAACATTTTATCGCCAATAGTTGAAACAATAATACCAAATTGAATTTCCTTATTAAACTTTTCTGAGAAGTAACAGCAATGCACATAATTGAAATTTGTTTAAAATATGTTGTACTTGTTTTGCAATTCAAAAAAAATACTGATATGCTCTTTTCCCCATAGAAGCAAACAAGGGAGAGAAAACAACAAAATCCCAGCTAATACAAAAGATAAATAACTGTGTCTTACATAAAAACAAGACCCAGCCATGACTTCATATCTCACTTATATCTTTGCTTGTATTTTTCAGGGTGGTTTATAAAATCTTCCAGTGAGTCAACTAATATTGTTCCCCATCCTGGCATGAAGAAGGCATTTTTGCATGAATTGAAGGCTGAGAACATCAAAACATTTTTATAGTAAGCTTATGCTTAAAAGTCGATAAGGGCAGTATATTGCAAAAACATTGTTCTGTACAGATGTTTTGATACAACATTTTATATACAAAAATTGGCTTTTCACAATGCTTTATTTATTGAGGATCTTGTATTACTTTCCATGTAGGGAAGATTACAGCTTCAGCTTAACTTCATATCATTAGAAAGCTTTCAGAGTGGGAGTTAGCAAACACTGAATATACAAAGACCAGCCTTTGCAAGCCAGCAGATATCTGTCACAACTACTTAATTTTGCTCCTACAACATAAAAGAAGCTATGGAAAGTATGAGGAAAATACATGTGCCAGTTCTGATAAAACTGTACTCATGAGCACTGAAATTTGATTCTCATGTGTTCATGTATTACAAAATTCCGTCATGTTTACTCCTCACCTACTTAAAATATAAAGCTGTTCTTTGCCTGTGGACTGTACAAAAAAACAGATCATGGCCAAATATAAATCACAGAACTTACTTTGCTGACTCATCTTTTAAAGAAAGATAGTATGTTTTAATCAAGAAAAGGTTGACTTTAAAATTGCATAAAAATTAGTTCAAACTCCATCTGGGCTCATTGACAGGAAAGTACCTGAGTGAATAATGAAGCATCCTAAGCTTTTATTTGCATATCTATGAGATGAGGGTAAAGATACTGCTGTGATAAGGCTAAAACTGCAAAGCAGAATTTTTCAAAATTTAAAGACTAATTCAATTCTTACTGAAGTAGTTTAAAGTGAAAGAGATAGGTAAATAAATTTTAAAAGTATTGTGCCTTGCACATTCTAGGCAAGAGCTCTGTCATTGAGCATACACAAGGCCCTGTGTTTGATTCTCAATAATGCAAGAAACTAAAAGTTAAAAGTTGTCACAAAGTGAAATTTATAATTAGTTAAAAGTAAAATATGTGAATGAATAGTTTTAGTATATGTAACCACCTACAATGCTTTATAGTTTTCAACAAATCAAAATAATATGTGTCAAAAATATGCAAAATTCTTCTAATGATTGAAGGATTTCCTAATGAATACAAAGTAATTTGATATAAAAAGACTATTAAATATTAACATATGGATTGAACTATATATCTGTAGGTATGTACATATATACCTTATATAAATTACAATGGAGTTAAAAACCATGAAAACCATTGCTTCCCCAGTTTCAGAAGGGCCATGTTGAATGAGAGGCTTTGGGCTTAAACTTCTTTTTGAAAAAAAAAAAAAACTCTGTATCTTGTATTTATGCCACTATATTTGCATTATAGGCATGACATAAATAGTTTTGTCTTGGTGCTTATTGGAGATAAAGACATACTAACCTTTAATGTTTAAACATTTTCAATGTTTCTTCACCAGTAATTTCACACGGACACCACACTTGGCAGGAACAGTACAGAATTTTGAGCTTGCAAAGCAAATTCATGCCCAGTGGAAAGAATTTGGCCTGGATTCGGTTGAGTTGTCCCATTATGATGTGCTGTTATCCTACCCAAATAAGACTCAACCCAACTACATCTCAATAATTGATGAAGATGGAAATGAGGTAAAAAAAATACAAGAAACACTCCACGTCAATCTTGTATCATCTCTACATATTTACCAAGTTCATTATTATTGACATTTGTGATTTGCCTTTAAAAATCTCCTTATCAATGTCAGTTCATTTCTTAGAGTGTTTGAATGTAGTGTGATTTGGGAAAGATTTTTTTTAAATGAATGCTTCATTATAGTTACTTTCTATTTTTTAGTATTATATACCAATTTCAAATGCAATATATGGTTAAGATTCTGACCAGCTAAACAGACTTTCATGCCTTAAAGCATAAAGACATTTCAAAGATTTAGAGTTTGCCAGAATATTTAGAGAACCAGTGTTGGTTTGAGCTAGCAAGGATGTATTGGTTTAAAAGATTCTATTTCCACCTGGTTTTAGCTAAAAGTTCTAGCTGCACTGAATGAAAATTTCTCAAATGACCTTGTACATAGGCTTTTGTTAAGACCTTGTCTTGGACATTTGGAAAGGAATACATTTGGAGGCAAATGTATCTAAAACAAAGAATTTATAATTTTGTTTTTAAGTCAGGGTGCATATTTGCCAAACAGATTATAATACAGTTAGTTGAAGTTGGTCTGATCAACATGTATGTTCAATATGAAAACAATAAAGTATAACTAAAACATTTATCACCATCAATACATTTTACATAGCAGACCTAATATATCTAGTACGGTCTACATAGCTTCAGATAGTCATCTTGTAACTGAAATTCCTCTTATAAATAGCATTTTCAAGCTACTTACAAATTAAAATGTTTTCACATTTGACTTTTTCAAATTGTTATTTAACTTCTCTTACTAACAATGTATCAGTCTTTTCTTGTAATGAACATATATAAGTATACACACACATATATTATAATCACTGATATGATACAATTCTAACTTTAATCACACAGTTCTAGAGTGTTTCTTGCTTGTGTTCCCCTTTCCAGGGCAATTACTATTCAATCTATGAGCTGTTCTTTTAACACTTACTTATTTTCCATAAGTAGTATGCTTGCATTGCTTTTTACAGATGGTTGTGAGCCACCATGTGGTTGCTGAGAATTGAATTCAGGACTTCTGAAAGAGCAGTCAGTGCTCTTAACCTCTGAGCCATCTCTCCAGCCCTTGCATTGCTTTTTATTTCAGAGTCATGCAGTGTTCGCTGGGGTTGTGATCATTCCAGCCCATGCTTATCACTCTAGCCTAACACCAATGTTCAAGTACTGTTACTCATTTCTTAAAATTATAAAAATTATGAACTAGAAGAGATCTTCTGGGTAAACTGGGGGCAGGGCCAGGGAAGGGGGATAGAAGGATGGGAACATGAAAGATATGGTTGGGGAGGTTGGGGGCAGGACAGATTGAGGGGAGTAAAGAAAGAGGTGTCTTGGTGCAAGGGGGCATTTCAGGGTTAGAGAGAAACCTGGTGCCAGAGAAACTCTCAGGAATCCACAAGGATGATCCCAGCTAAATCTCTTAGCAATAGTGGAGAGAGTACCTGAACTGGTCAACTCCTGTAATCAGATTGGTGACTACCCTAATTGTCATCAGGGAGCCTTCATCCAGTAACTGATGGAAGCAGATACAGAGATCCACAGCCAAGCACTGCATCAAGCTCTGGGAGTCCAGTTGAAGAGAGGGTGGAAGGATTATATGGGGGGGGGGGGTCAAGATTATGATGGAGAAACCCACAGAGACAGCTGACCCGAACTCGAGGAAGCTCAGGGACTCGGCCCACAGCTAGATAGCCTACATGGGGCCAACCTAGGCCCTTGGCATGTTGTGATGACAGTTGTTTAGCTTGGTCTGTTTGTGGGGCTCCTAGCAGTGGGATCAGGAACTTTCCCTGGCACTTAAGATGGCTTTTGAAAACCTATTCTCCATGCTGGCTTGCCTTGCCCAGTCTTGATGCAGGGGGAGGAGCTTGGTAGTGCCTCAACATGATGTGCCATGTTTTGTTGACTCCCTTGGGAGACCTGCCCCTTTCTGAATGGAGATGGAGAAGTGGATGGTGGTGGGGATAGAGGGAAGGCAGGAAGGGAGGAAATGGGAGGAAAGGAGGGAGGGGAAGAGTGATCACTATGCAAAGTAAATGAAAAAATTAATTAATAATTTTTTTTGAAAAATTATATATTCAAAAATTATATTATTCTTTAATATTTCAAGTTCAATGAAAACCACTTGGTGCTGACACATTTATTGTATGGAAGAACTAAAACAGCTAGTATAATTTTAATTGGCATAATACTGCTATATTTTTAAAATATGTATTCTTTATATCAATTTTCACTTTCTTAATCACATTTTATTCAGTTTTGATAGTGTCTGTTTCTGACCTAATCTCAGCATTAGGGAACTTGAGTAAAGATGATAATCATGAGATTCAAAGCCAGGGTGGGCTACCTCATGAATTCCAGGCAAGCTTGGATTACATATTGAAAATTTTGTCTGAAAATAATAGTAATATTGCAGAAGTGTGGTATAATAAGAAGTTACATCTTACTGTTGATATATTTATGGGCTGGTGCACAGATGTTTTGTTGACACAGCACTACAATGAGATACAGAAATACAAACTTAAAAGAGTGAAATGAAAATGAGATGTGTCTTTCCACTTTGTCTAAATCCCAAGTTTTTGGCCTCCATTATTCTTTATATAATCTCAAATTTTAAAATATCTGAAGACATGCCTAATATTGATTTTTCTATTTTGTTTTATTGATTTTGTCAGAGGTATGTCATTTTTGCTAATGTATTCAAATATTAAACTTCGTCTTTAGCGGTGTTTTGTAACCTAACTTCATGGTTTATTGATTGTGCCCTTACTTTAGATTTCTTTTATTGCTGTCTTTGTATTGACTTTGCTATTCCTTGTAGCATCTTCTGAAGAATGCTCAATTTACTGATATCCAGTCTTTAATAAATTCTGAGGTTCAAGTTCTCTCATAACTGCCTCAACTAATTCTCTTAAGTTTGGATAAGAGGTATTTCAGTAATCACTGATGTCTTATTTTTTTTCTAATTTCCATTTTTTCTTCTTAAATTATCTTATTTATTTGTTCATTCTTTAAGACAGCATCTTGCTAGCCCAGGCTAGCCTAGAATTTCCAGTTCTCTTGCTGGGATTGCACATATGCATTACTGAGTGTTTAGAATTTTTATTCTGTTCTCATTGTCAGGTTTAATATGGTTTAAAAAATATATATATATATATATATGTATATATGTATATATATATATATAGTGATTAGGTAATATGGTTTATAGGTAAAGAATTGTGCTGAATGTTTTTTGCCCACTTGACACAAATAGAAACATATTTGGAAGAGGAATGTTAATTGAGAAAATGTTTCTATAGGATTGGCCTATGGACTGCACACAAGTCTCTGAGGTACTGTCTTAATTAGTGATTGATATGACAGGCTCCACCTCAATGTGGGCATGTCATCCCTGGGCTGGTGTACCTAGTTTTATAAGAAAGTAGGCTGAGAAAGTCATGAGGAATATGTGATTAAATAGAGTTCCTCCTCGGCTTCTGTTTCAGTATCTTCTTCCAGGTTCCTGCCTTGATTTCCATTCCCGATTTCAGTGACAGACTGTAAACTGAAAGAAACTTTTTTATTACCAAATTGCTTTTGCCATGGTGTTTTATCACAGCAATAAAAATCCAACTAAGGTTTCCATTAGAAATTAGTATGTGTCAATTTACATAAATGTTCTGTTTCTTTGGCAAAAATGCATATTTGTTAGTTTGGGGACTTCATCTTTCATATTGGTTTAGTAGTTTGTATCATTATTTGGCTGAAACCTCTTCTTAATATTACTTCCTTCTGTCTTTATTAATCATATGAAGATTAATATGATAGCTATGTACTAAGCTGAGCATTTAAGTTATACTCTGATAGACAGGGCATACATCTATTGTATTATGGACAAACGTATTGGACATCCTTAATATCATATACTTTATCAATTTCAGCATATTGTCTCAAATTTAGTTCTTTTGCAGCATTTCTATCATTTCTCTTTAAGAACTTTGTGGGTGCCCTGAACCTCCATATTTTGTCACTATAATCTCTTAATATTTCTTTTTTTCCTAATTTCTACACTGAGATAAATTATACTTATAGGTCTGTCTCCTAAACTTATTAATTTCTATTGCTTGCTAGATTTGCCTCTTTTAAATTTTGTCTCTGTTATTTGATATTTTCTGGCTATGTAGCCTAGATTAGCCTTGAGTTTTCAATCTGCCTGCCTGGGTATCCTCATGCTGAGATTTCAGGTATGTGTTCCTGTGTGTGGACACTACATGTTCTTTTTTTTCTACATTTATTTAAAGGTTTTTCATTAAAATTCCAAACCAATGACATCTATATAATAAGTGCTAGACATGTAGTTAATTCTCTGTTCTCTATGTCTACTCCTTCCCAAAGGACTTTGTGTATGTTCAGTGATTTTTGTTTGGGTTCTGAGTTCTTCCTTATGACTTCTTTTAGGACTTTTAAAGGTCTAAATTAAAGGATAATGGCATCTTGACAATTTTTGCTGGGCTACAAGCAGCACTACCAACTAGACACTACTCTAAAATAAACTCCTCACCTAGAAGCATTTTGTTCTAAGTAGTGAGTGGGAAAATGTAGATCCTTTGAGGCCTTGAACCATCACTTTCTGTGGAATTAATTTATGTCTAATTTATCCATAACTCTAAAATATATTGTTCATTGGAAACTAATTTATGCAGGATTCTCCTGTAAGACTCTATTTCCTGAAGTGTAGTCAGACTGTATTAATGTCTATGCTCTCTTTATGGGCCCTTATACTTTGATAAGACTAACAAGAGACAAAAACGGACTGTTTTATTCTAGTCAGCTTTCATTACTTGTGTTAATTAACTTATTGAAGTTTATTTTATTTTGGTGTTTCCAGTCCATAATCAAAGGGTTCCATCACTTTGGACCTCTAATGAGGCATTGACTAATAGTGAAGGGAGCGGTAGCAAAAACTACCAATGTCACAACAAGAAAGAAAAGAATGAGGCAGTTGCTGAGATGTAACAAATCCTTTATGGTCATACCTTCCACGGAGAGATCACCCACAAGACCCCATGTCATGGAGTTTGCACTTCCTCCTGATCATGCCAGCCTGGCAACCAATCCTTTAACATGCAGACATTGAGGGATATTCAGTATCCAAACCTATAATACAGATTTTAGTGTTACATCTCAGAATTCCTGTTGCATATCTGTTTTTATTTGTTTGCTATTTTGGGAGGTTCTTAATAGTCCTTGCTTTTCTGATTTAATTTAGATAAACAGATATATTTTGGTTAGTGTTTTTCATTCTTTCTTTCCTGCTTAAATTATTTTATTTTTATTTTTTATATAATTTTTTATTAAAAAAGATTTTCTTTCTTTTTATATACCAACCTGTTCCCCTCCCTCCTCTTCTCCTGCTTCTCCCACTACTCCCATCCCACCCCATCTCCTCCTCATAGAGAGTAAGGCCTCCCTTGAATAGTCAACACAGGCTGTTATACCACGTTAGGGATAGACCTAGCCTTTCCCCCCTGCATCAAGGCTGAGTAAGGCATTGCACCATAGGGATTGGTGTCTAAAAAGACAGTTTGTAAACCTGGGATAAATCCTGGTACCATTGCCAGGGGACCCACAAGCACATCAAACCATGCAACTTTCACCCACATTCAGAGGGCCTAGTTCAGTCCCATGCAGGCTCCCCAGCTGTCAGTCCAGAGTCCATGAGCTCCCATTAGCTCAGGTCAGCTATCTCTGTGGTTTTTCCTATTATGATCCGGATCCCCTTTGCTCTTATAATCCTTCCTCCCTCTCTTCAACTGAACTCCAGGATCTTGGGCAACTGCTTGGCTGTGGGTCTCTGCATCTGCTTCCACCAGTCACTGGATGTAGGTTCTATGATGACAATTAGGGTAGACACCAATCTGAGTGTAGTAAAGAGGAGGACACTAAGAGGGACATACACATGGATCTTCCCAGGAAGGGGAAAGGTTACGATCTTCTGGGCAAACTGAGAGGAGTGAATAGAGGGGAGGGGATGGGAGGTAGGAACATGAGGGCTCGAGATGGCCGAGTTAGGGGAGAGATGGAGAGTAATGAAAGATATCTTGACAGAGTGTACCATTAAGGGGATGGGGAGAAATCTGCAGCTAGGGAAAACCCCAGAAACTCACAATATGTCCCCAGCTAAGATAGCAATGGTGGAGAGGGTTCTTGAACTAGCCTTCCTCTGTACTCATTTTGGTGTCTACTCTAAATGTTTTTCATTCTTTCAAGTATGAATGTTTTTCAGTGTATCTGAGTGCTATTGGGGGTACATCTCTCAACTATGTGACCTTTTTGTTAAAGTAAATTTGATATTTAACTTGTTCCAGCATTATTATAATAATGACCACCTTTACTATGCAAGGCTATAGTTCTATTTGAAGACCTTAAAATGATGTCTGCAGACATTTTCTCCTTAAATGGAAGCTGGTGCTTGTGGGCTCTTCTAGGACCCTCAAGAGGATGAATCTCTTCTATCCTACTGTGGAGCACCCGTGTATAACAAGTGTGACAACTGACCCAAGAGATGGATGCATTTTTCCTTAATTGCTTGTGATAAACTTGAACGGATTTACTCTTGATTATCTTGTTTGTTTCTCTAGATTTTCAACACGTCATTATCTGAACTGCCACCTCCAGGATATGAGAACATCTCAGATGTAGTGCCACCTTTCAGTGCCTTCTCTCCACCAGGGATGCCAGAGGTAACAATGTAGCACAGCACAATACAAGTGATGAGCAGTAGTCCTATTTCCTCATACTGTTAGGCAATAATTAAACTGTCTGACCTACATAGTTTTTTTCTCCTCTCTCAAAAGATATCACAAACTTCATTATTTTTTCTTTCCTGCAAACATGCTTAAATTCTTCCACGATACTGAACAATGATGCAGAAGGTTTCAATATCTATGCTATCACTATTTACATTCAAATAGAAGGCACATGTGTTGACTGTTGAGATTTCCTGGGTGATCTGTAACCCAGCCAGTAGAGCATTACTTCTCTATTAATTATATAGGTCTCTTATGTGTATGCAATACATTTCTCCATCATTAATTCTTGAATCTATGTCATCTGAGTCCTGTGGAACATATAACACTGGCTCATGCATTAGTCTATTTAAAATTTGCAATTTCGACGGGCGGTGGTGGTGCACGCCTTTAATCCCAGCACTCAGGAGGCAGAGGCAGGCAGATCTCTGTGAGTTTGATGCCAGCCTGGTTTACAAAATGAGATCTAGGAAAGGTGCAAAAAAATACACAGAGAAACCCTGTCTCGAAAAACCAAAAAAAAATGCAATTTCACAATATCTATAAACATACTGTAGTATTTCTCATGTTTTAATATGTGTCACATAAATGGAGGGTTTGCAAAGCACAGATTCTGGTTTCTAGCCTATATTCTAGCATTTCAGCATGTCTTCGGATGTACCCAAGAGCTCATGGGTGCTTCTCACAGGGTCCTCTGTAAGGCTGAACTCCAGGACCAATCTTTGAGGACCACTACTTTTCTCACCCAAATGTTCACAATGATAAGAGCAGAAAAATAGAAGCTTGAAGGAATCAGGGAAAATTCCAAGCCCAGGGCCAGATTATATTTACAATCATAGAACAACAGCACAGTGTAAGTCATACAAGAAGTCCATTGTCTAAAACAAAGTGGTTTTTCAACTGAGAATACCACTTGCCTAGGGAGTGTATCTATTGGTTACTTTTGTTTGCAAAATTTTAAACTGTGTCTTCTCCAATCCATTCTCCAGAATAGTTTGTCTTATGATGATTGTCAGTTTATCAAAAGATAGCTGTCATTTTGTAATACTTAACGGGGGAATCGCCCCTAAATTGCTTCTCCCAAGTGGGAACTTGTTGGTACAATCAAGAAATGTGAACAGACCAATTTAGCCTCTCTCTCTCTCTCTCTCTCTCTCTCTCTCTCTCTCTCTCTCTCTCTCTCTCTCTCT